GAGAGAGATGAGAGATTAAGTGAGAGGAGTGAGTGTGAGAGAAATGGTAGGATTTGGGGAGTGGGAAAGAGAGAGAAATGGTAGGATTTAGAAGACATTGAGAAAATGGTGGAGGAGTTATTTTGCTTTTAAAGAACGTATCACTTTGCACGACGAAACAATATATTGGTCGCGCAAAGTGTTTAAATTTTTTTTTTTTTTAAATTCCCATTTTCGGTGCCCGCCAAATTTTTTCAGTTTTGGGCGACGAGTTACGGGGGCATCATGAGCATCTTTTGACTGCTAATAATGATGATGCTCATGTCACGGGGGCAGGTTCTGTACTCTTGACACTTGCTTTACCCTTGGACAAAGTGTTACTAGTTTCATCTTTGTCTAGCAATTTATTATATGTGCCACAAGTTACTACGCAGTTAAATTATATTGTACTAATGTATCCATCTTGTGTCTCACTACAGGATATCCAGACTCGGGAGAGGTTTGGTCGTGGTACTAAAAAGGGGAGCTTTATTATGTGGATGACATGGCAACTGGTCAGGTCTTCGTGGCGATAGCTTCGAAACTTCGATTGTTATTTGTTAATGACGTTGTTGGTTTTAACGACGGGGATTTACCGTCGTGGTTTGCTTCTGTAAAAGATGTCGGTCGATTTCACGAAGGTTTGAAAACGGGATACACGACGGTGAATTCCCGTCGTCTTTTGCCTTTTTTGTAGAAGTGGAATAATATTACGGGGATAAAATCAGAGACAGTAGGAATTTTTGAGGTTGGCAACACCCACATCTATAAAGGCCAAGGGAAAGAGAAACCAGTTGACTCCGGTGGAGAAACCGACTCGGCCGCCGGTACTGATGAAGACGAAGCAGTGAACTGATGACTGATTGAGATCTGTAGCTAGCTAGGGCCTCCCCTCCATCCATCTTACTTATATGTAATATTGATGTGATGAGTAAAATAAAAGGACTTCCCTTTTCTCCACTTACATTCCTTTTTATTTTTTAATATTTTTTTAATCACTTTGTTCTTTCTTTTTTCTATTCTAGTCTTATCTTATTTCACTTTTATATTATTTCTTTTTCTTTATATTTAATTTTCCTACTTACACTTCATTTTCCTATTCTAGTCTTATCTTATTTTACTTTCAAATCGTTATACATGTTTAAAACTTCCAATGATTTTCCCAAATTTTCCACAAGAATTTCGGAATTTTTCAAAAATTCCGAATTTGAATGAATGTTGAAATTTGGAAATTTTTGGAACATAATTGGAAAAGAAATTTCTTTTCGAATTTTTTTTTACAATGGGATTGGAATCCTCTTATTCGATCTGATCCGTCCGAAAATCAGAAACATATCCTTTTCACTATCCCTTCCTCCCTTGACGAGGAGAGGAGGAGAGGTTTAGGGTAAATAAATCTCAATTACAATAGGACTAAATAAATTAGTAAGTAACCAAAATCCTAACTAAGTAAGGAACCAAAGTCCTAACTAAGGACTCGCCAACAAGTCTTGTCCTCCATCCTACCATAGTGAGAGTGTAAGACGTTAGATTATTCTAATTACCTACTTAAGTGGTCTTCTAATCATCATAGGGTTGTCTTGGGCTCAATATTAATCAAGGACTCAATTACTACTCGGCCCGTAGCCTTTGTACAAGTGTTTAAGTTAAATACATGGGCCAAAGGGATTCCTAATTAATATGGACTAGGGTTTTTATTTCCTAATGCAATAAGGACTGCTTGAGAGTTTTTCTTGATGGGAGAGACTCCTAGTCAGATGCATATAAAACACAAGCGCCCCTG